AGTTATTCCGCAGTAAACATTTTTTTGTTTTTTTTAAAGCTTCAACCAGCATTGAGTGAAGAAACATGACCTAAATGTTCTTAAATTAGGACCAAAACCCTGTTAAAGTACTATTCATAGTTTACATAGAAGTGCTTGCATATTTCTGAATATTACTCTTCTATAAAATGTAAATTGTAGTATTTTAAAGTGGCTTTCTGTCATTTTTGTGTTTAAATTTAACAGATAACTTTGAAGAAAGGTTTTTGAAAAGATAACTTTTAATGAAATTAATAATTGTGTTGGATTTAAATTTGTTGAGCACACCCCAGCGTTCATTGAACATTGTTGAGAGAGATGGCACTTAAAAATGCAACTATAAAAAAGAAAGTGATACACTTCTGTTAATAATTTTAAAAGTAACATAAGTTCCAAGTCTTGACAGTTTAACCTATGTCTTTAACTCATTCGTTAACTGAGGCTATGTGATTTGGAGAAGAGCAGTACTAGTTTTTATAGTACTAGACTATCCAATTTTAAAATTATTTGAATTATTAAATTAACAATTATAAAATAGTATTGACTGGGAATATCTTAAGTTTATCAAAGTGTCTCATGAGAAAGTAAGCTGTAGAGTCTTTGTTGCGTGTTTTGTCTGTTTAAAGTCTGGACCTAATTTTAAACGCATTCTTCTTTTCAAGCATCCACTAGCATACCACTTTCTATGAACATAAGGACATAAGGAAGGTTACAAACGAGAAGAGGCCCTTTTGGTAGTGAGCAGCTCACTGATCCAAGGATCTCTTCCAGATGTTTCTTGAAAGATAGCCAGGGGGATCAGCTTCAACAACATGGCTGGGCAGCCTGTTACGTATTCCCCCAACCCTTTGTGGAAATACAGACATCCTTTTCTCAGTTTTAAACGTACTTCTGTGTAGTTCCTCTTGGTTATGTTTTACTGTTGCTTCTGAAGAAGTTTAATCAGTTAACTTTGTCAGTACTTTTGAGAATCTGTGAGTACGTGAATCAGGTCTCCTAATAGTCTTCTCTTTTCAAAACTAAAAAGGTTCTGTTCTTTCAGCTTGCAACATTCCTTTAGCCCTTGGAAAGCACCTGGTTGTTCTGCTCTAGTCTGTTTCCAGCGTAGTAATATCGCCAATAACATTTGGTAACCAGGTGACCAAATCCTACACAGTATTGTAAAGCAGGTCTTACAACATTATTTTAACATCCCCTGATTTACATTCTGGATTCTGGAAAAGCTAACATTTCATTTGCTTTTTTGTTGCTTCCCCACATTTCCTTCAAATGTTATCTAGGATTTTGTATCTATATTTTATGCTACCTACATGTTAACACTATTTGCTTGTCTACTTTAAATGTCAAGTAGGTATCTGTGCCAGCATGCGTAGGCTGCAAAGGAACATTTTTTATTCAGCTTTTATTCCTGGGTATTTCTGTTCTTATATGTGTGACCATTTTAGAATAACTGCACGTTTTTCTGTTCCGCCCCCCATTTCAGGTGAGCATTAGTATTGGAACAGTTGGCTGCATTGAAGCATTGATTGTGCAGAATTATAAAGGCTGCACCACAAGATGCTAACATCTCATCAGCACCAAAAATAGAAAGGCCAGATTACAATTTGCTAAAAAGTACAGAGAAAAGGCAGTCGAGTTCTGTTAATGGACAGATGAGGCAAAGATAAACCTCTACCAAAGTGATGGCAAGGTGAAAGTGTGTAGAAAGGAAGAAACTGCAGACAACCCGAAGTACAAAACTTCATCAGTGAAATATAGTAGATGTAGTGTCATAGCTTGGGCTTCTGGAACTGGCTCACTCAACTTTATTGATGATGATGATGATGATGATGATAACAATTCCTTAGTGCTTTTCTGGACACTCCACTCAAAGTGCCTTACAGGTAGTGAGGAGTCCCCTCCACCACCATCAATGTGCAACCAGTGTCAATTGCCAATGCAACAAAGGAGTTCATCAGGGAGAAAAAAGTGAAAAGTATTTGATGGGCCAAATCAGTCTCCTGATTTAAATCCAATCCAGCTTGTATTTACTGTATTTGGTGAAAAGGAGACTGAAGACAGAAACGCCCCAAAACAAACAGCAACTGAAAATGGCTGCAGCAAAGGCTTTGCAAAGCATTTCAAAAGAACAGACCAAGAGTTTGATGTCAGTGGGTCACAGGCTTGATGCTGTTTTTGTGTGCAACAGATTTGTAACCAAATACTTCTATTGATACAACTTTCATTTACTTTAACTTAATTTGTACCAATGTTTGTTTCAAACACTTAACCAATAAGAAACAACTGTCCTGATACTTATGTTAATCTAAAATGGGAGCATGGAACACAAAACCGGTATTATTCTAAAATGATCAAGCTTAATGCACAGAAATAAAAGGTGACATTCTGTAATTTTGCCTCATATTTCTCTTTTCATTTCAAATCAAAACTGAGTCTAAGGCAAAAATAGCAGTTTTGACTTCACTGTCCCAGGACTTATGGAGGACAATGTAGTTGGAATTACAACAATTAATAACATTGAAAGATTTCTTTGTTTTGTGAAGCATAACTAATGTATTTTTTATACATTGTTTTTTTAAGAACTTACCGTAGCTGAAATACTTTTCAGGTGTTATCAGTCATGCACAAGCACACCTTTTGTATTAGAAGGATTCCAACAATAGATTCATGATGGAGCATAAAAAAGTCAAATGCTTATACTGTAACAAGAGTATATGAGTATTTTTATGTTAAGTACCGTGGTCTTAATGGAACTGCGTGTAATGAACAAAAAAATTAAGCATGAGAGTTAATAAGCATCAGCACATATTTTAAAGTCAAAACCTTCCACAAATGTGTGGCTCATTAACTATTAAAATGACTTCCTAGGATTCCTAAGGTCACATATAAAAATGGACAGGCGAGATTGTCTGTAATAATGGTACAGATTGTATGGCTGCACACCTCAGTGACTTTGAAAGAGTCACTGGAACACGTTTGACAGAAGCTTAAGTTATTAAGACGGCTCAACTTGCTGATGTTTCTCAACCAGTAGTGTCTAAGGTTGGCATAGATCCCTAAGAGAGTCCATCAGCAAAGGGCAACAGCTGGTGGAAGCACATACTGTAGGATCATGATATCCATGCTCAAGGTGAAACAGGTGAATGACTGCAAATTTCTACATGAATCACTAGTAGCTAGTGCCATGAAAAATGGTTCAGTGAAATCTCCACAAACTGGTATACGGTAGCTGGATTTCAGTGGCATTGGTCAGATGATCCTTCATTATGTTCTTGAAGGATGAGTGCCTGTGTGGCTCCAACCTGAAGAGCTCTACAGCACTGAGTGCCTGGTTCCAACAGTGAAGGGTTCTTATGGTTCAGTAATGTTGTGGGGCTTGGTTTGGTGTGTTTATTCCCTTATACAGCAAGTTCAAAGCTAAGTGGTACTTAATGGTCCTAAGTGATCATTTGCACCCCATGTTGCAGCATTTCTTTCCTTCTGGGAGGGATGTCTTCCAGGATGATGATGATGATCACATAAAGAGAGCTTGTGTGATCAGTCATTTGATGAGCTTGAAACTGATGTTATCCATATGTCACGTCATTCCCAGTCACCAGATCTGAACCCAATGAAACACTTATGGGATATTCTGGAATGATGACTGGGACAGTGTTTTTCACCTTCATCTACCAGGCACGAGTTAGCTTTCTCATGAAAGAATAGTGCCTCATCACTCCGGCAGATTTCCAAACACTTAAACTTAATCTCATGGCATATCAGCCAGGCAGGCTGTATTGGCTGTACTTGGTCCCCCACCACTTCCTTAAGTGATTTTACATTGATTTTTCCATTTTTTGTTAACTTGCTGTAAATAATTGTTTAACCAGAAAAGTAAATTCATATTAACAGCAGTGACATATCCAAGAGGCATACATAACTGTTGCTCTGAAAACAAACCAAAATAGGGGGATGATGATGTTAAACTCTTTGGCTGGGATTTGACTCAGTTTCCTGAATTATAGACATGAATAAGTGATGTATTTTTTCATTCTTTAAAGGAAAAGGGGCGGTGAACATAAGGATTTAATTGGATCGTATTTAAATGAGCTGTAGCAAAAATCCTGTGTGATCATTTGGCTTTATATAATTCTGGTAATGTTTTTTTTTGTTGGCGTGTGCACAGACAGAAGTCCTGATAACGAATTGTGGATGAATATGCAAAGCTTTTAAACAACGAAAGTATGAAAAAAATTGTAACGTGGATAAAGACAGGAAGTCACGCATAGGTAGTGATTCCTATGTTTCCCAAACCCATTCATTTGAATATTGAGATTTTTTGTTTTTGTCAGACATCTGCAAAAGGAACTGCAGCTAGCTTAAATATCAATAAAACATAGAAGATAGTCAGCTTTTCTTTGATCTTGACCCCTCTTGAAGGATATACATTCTTCAGTCCTCTAAATTGTTTTTGTCTGCATAACCTTTGACAGAGATTTAATACTATATAGATTGGGTAAAGGCCAAATCTATAACACTTTAGAAATGTTTTATTGACTTACCGTACTACTTGCACACACTAAATTAAGGAACCCTCTTATATCTACATGAGTTGAACAAAAGATGATACAAATGGCAGTTTTTCCATCTACCCTAAAGAAATGTACACTTCAGAAGTGCTGAGAACAAAAGGGTTGAGCAGCTAAGCTTGAATGTTTTTTGAATGTGGTTGTGTCTTGCATCCAAGAATAATATGCAAACGTGGCTGGCTGGGAATGCCTTGGCTATTCAATCCTTATTTCCGTTCAGGCTTTAGACGCATATCGGGGTTTCTTTTTTTTCTAATGTTTTCTTTAGCTTTGGAAGAGTTCTAAATCTTGTGCTTTTAATAGGGCAGTAAGTATAGCTAGCCAAACTACAATGAGAGGTGGCACTGTGGGCTTTTTAACATTTTTGCTTGGGTTAAAAACTACATTTAAACTGTTCGTCTTCTTTATCTTCAGGTGGTCAAGATGAGAAGAGATGTGAAGAAGGCAAGGGTATTCATCATTCGAAAGCTAACGAGGCACGTTGCTAAGCTGAAAACAAAAAAGTCAGTGACGTTACAAAATTTATGTATTTACAAGTTGTTATTTCAATGTCATGTTCTTTTCCATGGGTATTGCTTAAAAAAAAAAATTCACTTTTTTGTTTCTGTGCTTTGTTTTTCTCCTGTTTTTCTGATTAACCAGTTCCTTCCTATGATTATTGTTCATTATCTGCTTTTATTTTGCAAATAACTTCCCTGTTCAATATCGTTGCGAGATAACACATGTTCCATAACATGTTTTTCATTGCTATGGAAGGATGTCTGCAACCCAGATTTTCATCCGGAATAGTATTAACCTGTCTGACCTGCCTGCCAAATCCTGGTGTGATTTTCCTTTTCCTTTACTCTGTGGGTATGTATTTGGTATGTAATTCAGGCAGAGCTCTCTTTAACATTTTTTTTGTGGAACACCCACTTAATAACATTAGCTAACAGACTGTAGAGTCATCTTCTGGGTATTTCTGTGAGGAATGAGGAAACATTGAGTTGGCTTCAGTATTTGAAAAAAAAAAAAGATATGACTTCAAATGCCCAGTAATTCTGTTTTAATTTACATTCGTCCATGTGCACAATTCAAATAGCCCTGTGTTTGCCATCAAATGTATTTCTAGCATTTCTGGACATTCCTTCATAAACCACTTCCACCCGTCCATGTTCTAACACTTCTTCCAGTTCATGGTCGTGGGGGAGCCGGAGCCTATCCTGGCAAACAATGGGAACAGGACACCAGTCCATCACACTCATGCCTAGCGCCAGTTTTCCCAGAAGCTAGTTAAACTACCAGCTTGGTTCTGGACTGTGGGACGAAACTGCATTACGAAGTAGCAGTGCTAACCACTGCTAACCACGCCACCCTTCTAAACTCCTTGTCTTTATTTTTTTGCCAATGTCAAGACAGTTCATGTTCTAACAGTGTTCATTTAGAGCTCATAATGACACTGCAGAGCAGTCTGCTTATTGAATAGACCAGGAGTGAATATAAATGATATAATTATACAATAACTTAAGAATGATACGTACGTTTTATTGGAAGAAAGATGAATTATCAAGTGGTAATGCTTTACAATGAAACACTGATACATATCTGTAAAACTGATGAGGATTTCAAGTGAACCTTTCTGAATCTGGATTTAGAGTACAGTTAGAACCCTTCTTTCTGTGAATGTACTAAGGGATACACTTTATCGAAGACTGACTGATCTTACATGAAAGTTATTCTTTTTCTTTTTATAATACACCCACTCTTTGGAATTAGACTTGACTTAAGTAAATTTAAGTTTATGTAAAAAGCTCTCATGGTTTGCCTAATAAAAATTTCAATTTATAGAAAGTTAGATACATGAAGTGGTGTGGTAAATACCTTTTGTAGGTAGATAGCAATGAGTAAGGTCATTACCGTTACTACCAGCATCCACCAGAGCGCCATTTTATACTGCATCTTGTTTGTTTTCACAGACATGTGGTGTCCTTTGCATATCGTCTCTCGCTTTTTCACTGAAAGTTAAGAGTTACCTGTAACGCAGTCATGTCAAGGAAGCGCCCAAATTATTCTAAGAGTGCTAAGAAGCTGTGTGTGATTGATCTTGACCAAAAAATATAGGTTTATTCCATGCTAAAAAGAGAAGAAAACGCAACGTTTCGGCCGTGGAGTAATACAATAGTGAAAGATTATGCATGTGTAACGGAAAAGCTGACCACTTTATGGATGGAAGATCGGATTCAGAGGCTACTATCTCTTAGGCAATTCTGAAAGTAATTTTATGAGGAGTCAGGGGTGGTTTAATGCTAGTGCTAATTTTCTCACAATCATGACATGGTGAGGTGGGACGTTTTTAGTGTAGATATTGTAGCTAGTGAGTTCTTACCTCCTCCTCTTATTTAATTAGCTATCAGGACTTATATTAAATGGAATTGATCCACAGTTATTTTGCTATTTAATGTATATTTTATTGTTTAATCACTGTTCAGTACAGTGTAGGGTGCTGAAATGTTCAGTATGAATTAATTTAAAGGTCATGCTCTGTCCATTATTTAGTGCAGTGTATCTTTATTTTATACAATGTTTTATTAGTTTGATCTTGGGGCTCCAGAATATTTCTTCATCAAGCAAAATGTTTTATTTATAAATATGGTAACCCTCTATACTGCATATAATATATACTAATTGGGTTCACGCAAAACGGACAAGGTCGCTACCAACTTGGTAAATTTTGGGTTGTGTAAAGATTTGAGGACCAAAGCCATTATGTACCCAACGTTTTGGTGTATCCGTAAACATCTTTAATTGAAAAATATTCCCTTAAACTTAAATTAATCATAATAAAACATATTTGAATAAATTATTATCAGGCCCGATGACAAAAATTCCATGTGTGGGGAAAAAAGTTTTCGATTTTTTTGTGATTAATTTATAAGTAACTTGGTGTCATTACTTATAATTCTTGTCCTTGTCCTTTCGTTCTATTTTTTATAGAGGCAAAGCAGAAGACATCGAAAGGAACCTGAGGCGAGTAGAAAGACTAATTGAAGAAATCCATGCAATGAAGGTAATCTCAGCTCTTGGGTTCATTCCCCAAACACTGCATGTTTTATGCAGCAGTAAAAGTAATAGGGGGTATGTGCTGATATGATACTGAAGGTAATCGTCATATTATAACAGTCATATTATATGTACACATTATAATATTAGACCTTGGCCAATCCAGTCAACTCCTGTAGGTGTAGTAGCCATCACTGTTTTGTGATTATAGTTTTTGTCATGAAAACTTTCTTTTGAAGGTTTTTGTATAAGAATTCAGAAACTTCTTTCTCAATGATTTGTTGCTTATGTTCTAAATTCCATCTCGGTATGTCTTGCAACACACTGTAAACATACATGTGACACATTTGAGTTAGTCATTATGGCAAATACTGTATATAGAGCTATTAATCCACCATATGGTTTGTGTTCGTTTAAGGATCTGATGAGTAGCCAGTGAGACAGGCTTCTGGTCTGTAGTATAAGTAGTATAGACAAAAATTTATCCAATGTTTAATTATTTTACATTTTTCAAGAAATAATTATTTATTTTATGCTTTTATTATTACAAACTTTTCCATATATAGACTAGATCATCACCAGTTAATTGTACTCAAGTTTCGCCTTCCTGTAAAAATAAAATGCTGTGGTCTCTTGTGTTTATGAACAAATAACATTCTGAAACACTGTTGACTTTTTCCCCTCTGAAAATGTAAATTCTGGCAGCATTGATCATGTGTTGTTTCATGCTTTTCTGCCAGTCCTACTAGCAGTTTGAACTTTGTACGATTTAGGCTCAATGTCAGATATACTTAACGGTAAAATAAGCTTGCCACTCTATTTGTGTATATTTTAGAAGAATGAATTGATTTGACATGTTTTTAAATTTTGAGTAATTGGTAATTTATGACAGACCATGATATACTTTAGTGTATGATGCAGAAGTCACTAAATCACCTCATTAGTGAGAGAGAAGATTGGGCACAGGTAATGAGTTGATTTTACCCATTAAATGATCAGATTTAAGAACAAGACATTTGGTACAAATAATCATTGGGATGACACATTGGCATATATTGAGCAGCACCTAGAACACAATACTTTTTAATACTTTAATACTTTTTAAAAATTATTTATGAAACATAATTGATTGCTCCGAGGAAAAGTGCAAAGCTTTTTAAGCTCTGTAGTAGAATGGTCTTTTTTTGCATTTAATTCTCCTAATCCTTTATGAACAGTTGAACTTAATTTACTACTATATCACTGTAGCTGCCACCATACACATCTGCCACCCGTTGTTACATCAAACCAGGTGGGATCCCAAGCTTTGAATGGTTTCCTACCAACAATATTGTGGGGTTTTGCAGGCATTTATATAGTGTCTTATTTTGTATTCCTGATCATTGGCTAGATGCCTTTCCACTCCAGATCTTGTATGGCCAGTAACAGTAGATGAACAATTTCCATGCTCCTGTTCCTTTTCCCCAATATACATCCTTATAATTTCATCACGTTAGTCTGGTGTAAGAACAGTGATAAATGTATAAGTCAGTGTAATGGGTTAGTCTACAGGCAAAATCTGATGTATAAACACCATTACTTCAATGTTTATGCTTTAAAAGTTTCCAAATGGTGACGGATTCATTACAAATTGCAAAACATCTTGAGAGGACAGACTTTTTGTTATCTTGCATATATCATTTGAGTGATACCTCAGACACAAATGTTTAGCAATACCACACTTGTTTTTTTTAGGTTTGTCAAATAAACCAGTTATTTTTTAGTTAGTCACAAAATCAAGCTCCAGTGCTTTATTTTCTCTGCAGTAATTGCTGCTAACTCTAGATCACATATTAAAAGGTTGGTGAAAAAAGAAACATGTACCTCCTCTGAGGTGAGTGGCAGTGTGGTGTGGTGTTTGGCACTGCTGCCACACAGGTCCTGGGTTTCATTCTGCACTGAAGCGTCTTGAGTGTAACGATAGCATCTTCTCATGTTTGCAAGAGTTCTTGCCAGTTGCTTGTGAATAATTGGTGTCTAACTTGTCCAGTGCACATGCACGTATCTATATGTGGTGGACTGGCATCCCATCCAGGGTGGATGGATAATAATTGCTAAAATTATGAAAAATCATTTTTATCCAAGTATTTAGACATATTTAGGGTGATACATGAAATCTGCTGAATTCTGGCTTTCTGCAACCAGGTTTGGTCACTTGTAGATATGCTTTGACTAGTGTATACCACATGACTCAAAAACACACAGAAAAGACTAAATGAACATAGAAATGATTTTCAGTTTCAATCATGTTGAAAAATCTAGATGGAGCAAAAAAAAATAACAGTAGTTTTTTCAGGGTCAACAGAAGTGCAGTCCAGTAAAGGACATTTTGTTTACAAGAAAAGTCCTTCCCACATCTCACAATATTTGTGGTTTGGCACATCTCTGTGTTTTATCCATGTGATTAGTGTGTTTTTGCAGAGCAGTAGTTCTTTAAAATAAGTGACAACCTACAGTCAGTAGAGCATGTAATACTTTGCAGTGCCCCGCCTGCACACCAGAACGTTTGTGCTTTATCTGCAAGATGACAGCAGTTCAAAATTCCAGCGGTGTGGATGGAAGAATTGGGTTAATTGTTTGCAGAAGCTGTTTTCTACTCAAAAGGGCAGTCAGAGCTTGGAATGTTGCAGAGTTCTTTCTGCCAGTGACCTAGAATTTTGTAGTGATTTTATAAAAATAGAGAAAAACAGTTCTGACCTTAACAGCTGGTTTTGGTTTTCCAGATATATTGATAAATATCTGGCATAGTTCATTACAGAATAATGAAACTGTCCTTCACATGAAATGCATTGCCCTTTTTTGTAATGATGTCACAGTACAAAAAACTAAATATATTGCTTCTGCTGAAAATCTGTGCATCTGCCCATTGCAATTTTGTTCTGTTCACTGTCAGTTACGACATCTTAGCTCTTTTTTGCACTATATGATAAATGCAAGGTGGCTGAATTAGTGACGCTCTTGGTATACAGCTTTAGCTTATTACGTTCCTAAAAAAACCCATGATCAGGGGGTTAGCATCATATTAAGTGAATATTTGAGTATATGAGAAATGGGGTGAGGTGCTCTGGGTCCATGTTACACTCATCAAAGGCTAACATATTCTCAAATAAAAATTACAAATACAATAATGAGAGTTATAATTAACCATATTAAATTAATGAAATGTTGTAATTAAATAATAGCACAAATAATAAAAACATCAAAAGGACTGTATATACATAAGAGGATACTGATTTGCGCACACTATTGTGAAAAATATAAAATTAAATGCTAGCAGGGTGGAGAGATGCGTGAGACAATACAGTAATGAGTAGTTGGAGAAACTGCATGCTTTTTAAAAGTTTCCTCAGGCAGACCCACATATGAGCACAGGTTTTCTCAGCCTTGTGAAGACTGGTACCCAAGTATGCGCGAGTTCTGCAGTTGGCAAGGGAAGTCTGTACTTTGCAAACGGTATACCAGAAAATTCCTAGAATGACTGCACAGGTGAGAAAAATGCTTTTGCAAACTTTAGGTTATTAGTCAAAATTGATGAGCTACACAAGTTGAGGAATTTGCATGGGAAAGTGTTGCAGGTCGTATCATAAAGGACATTATTATCAGAGAATATATACAGTACATTTGAGAAAAACACATCCGTGAAGAACATGTGGCTGCTGGTGGATATTAAAAAATAATTAGTAATCATTGTATCTCAGTGTAGTTTTGCTTTTAAAGTTAGTGAAAGTTTTAAATGAAAATATTAGACGGATTTTTCAACTTACAGTAATGTAGTTACTACAGTAGTGCACCTACTTGGGGATTTGAAATACACTATTTACTTATGTTAAAGCCTATTTTCATTTTGCCTTGTACAGTGACCATTGTTTATTGCATGCAGTTACTTTGAAATAGCTAACAAAATACTTGAAACTGTCACAATGACATTGTTTTATTTTAACAAGCAAATAATGCAGTTCTCAGGTTTTCAATGACAATTCCAATGGAATTAACCATTGTTCTTAACATTGTTTGTTTAATTAATCTAGTAAAAGTAAACGTATAACATAACTGACAAGTAATTGGGTAATCTGCAGTTTTTTGACAGACCTGCACTGTTTCAATGTTCCAACAGCTAAAATCAAGAAAACTGTAGTTCAGTATGAATCCTTTGAATAAGTCCATTAGCAAATTTTAAAGATAGATTCCCAAGAAATGTATTTAAATTGTATTTATTAATATATCTGAGTAATCTCTGAAGGAAGGGTTTTAGAATTGTTATAATCTTGGATGATGTTCAGAGACACTTGGAAATATATGCCAAAAAGAGACTAAAACAATATGTTTGAGAACAATGTATTTTAATTAAAAAGCAGTTCTAGGGTGGTACTTTTCTTGGCCATACAGCTTAAAGATGTACAATTTTTGCTAATGCCATTAAGAATTTGCATGGTTTTGTACAAAACCCAGTTAGCTATCCATAGACATACGGTAAAATAAAGTTTTAATCCTGAAGTGACAATTTTTGGTGCCATTGATTATATTTTTCTGTTATGTAATACAGATTCTAAAGATGTTTAAACTTAATGAAAGTTCAGAATTCCTCCATGTAAAATCCTCTTAAACTCAGTTTTCCATAGCATGTGTTTCCCTGTAAAACACATTAGTGGAACCAAATGAAAGCCAAAGTTGTCATTTTGCATTTAGTTTTTATGAGGTTCAAGTTGGAAGCTATGTCATTGTGCTAGCAGCAAAGCAACTTTGAGATCAATTCCATGACTTAAAGTAGAAAGAAAGTTTTCAGCTGTTGAATCTTCTTCAAGAATGATAGAGAAAGTAAATAGTTGGAATATAAAATATAGGAGAACAAAGGCCATGTCATGTGACAATGAGAAAGTTGCAAAAGCAGATGAGAAAGTTACAAAACACAAAATAGCTGTTGGAGAAGTGTAGAGAAAGAGAGCAGTAAACTGTAAATGGAGAGGAATA